CTGGTCGGAACTGGCTTCCCCCTCCCTGCTGGGTCCCCACGGCTGCCCTCTCTCCCCACAGACCATGCTGACGGCCATCTCCATGAGTGCCATCGCCACCAACGGAGTGGTGCCAGGTGGGTAGCGGGGGGGCAGAGGGTGGCCTGCCTCCCAGGAGACCCTCCTCCCCCAAAGGAAGGGACTGGGGGGAGGGGGCTGCCAGAAGCCAGGCACAAACAAGGATCGGGCCGGCACAGGAGAACCCCCCTTCTTTGGGGGTGAAGGGGGCCGTCTGTGCCTCGTTGGCAGCATTAAGGGGGTGCACAAGGTCAGGGGGCCCCTCTGAGGGCCCCACCTGATGAAGGGGGGGGTCCCGGCTGGAGGGAGGCAGCCCCAAGAGGGAGGAGTTTCCTTCTCTGGGGAGGGGTCCTTGCCTTCCCCCCTCCCTGCCACCTGGGGATGGCGGTGCAGCCAGGCAGGATGGGTTAGTGGCTGGGGGGGGGTGAATTTGCTTCTGAGACCTCCCCCTGCGGAGGGGTTGGGACGGGGGTGTGCCATCTCTCACCCCCGGGGCATTTCTGGCAAAAGTCTTCTTCCCCAAGGGGTGAACTGGGCAAAAAGAAAGGGGGCGCCCCCTATTGGTCCCCACAGAGCCCCACAAGAGCCTTTGGTGCCCCTCCCCCGCAGAAGAGCAATGGGTGCCTTGAGGGGCTGGGGCAGCCAATGCCCTCCTCCCTGGGCAGTGCGGGGGTCACTCCAGCTGATGTTTCCCCTTCTCTCCCTCCCTCCCTTCCTCCAGCCGGCGGGTCCTACTACATGATCTCGCGTTCGTTGGGCCCGGAGTTTGGAGGGGCCGTGGGACTCTGCTTTTACCTGGGCACCACCTTTGCAGGTGCCATGTACATCCTGGGTACCATAGAGATTCTGCTGGTGAGTGCGGGGGTGGGGGCTGCGGGGGTGGGCAAGGCAGGGCAGGGAAGGCCCTGGCCTCTGGAGACGAGAAGAGAAGGTGGGGGGGGGCTGCCCTGGGCGCCCCTGGAGCTGCCAGGGGAGAAGCTGGGCAGGAGGCTGGCATGCAAACCTTTGCCCCCACGGCTGCCAAGGAAGCGGAGGGAGGGAGGGAGCCAACTCCCGTCCTGGAGGCTGCGATGTTCACCCCACAGAGCTGACTCCACCCCCAAGGGGGCCGCTTTGGGGCTGCCTGCAGTGACCCAGAGCTGGGCTTGCTGGGCGCGTTCAGCCAGCGCCTGGTGAGACCCGGAGCGCTTCTGCTGGAGCGATTTCTGCCAGCGAAAGGCCTGAGTGGGCCGCAGCTCTCGGCACCTCCGGAGCCAGGGACCCTCCGCACCGTCTCACGGGGTCCTCCTCCGTGCGAGGATTCCCCCAGCAGGGGGCGGCAGGAAGGGGGCGGGGTCTATGGATCCGCCCCTCCTTCAAGCCCCAGCCTTTAGCCCGGTGAAGTGGGAGATCATTCCCCCCCCCCCCCGTTGTGGATCCCCGATGCTTTTCCTCAGGGAAACGGGCTAAATGGCAGCGCTGCCTAAGGATTGCAGCCGGCCGGTCTCAGACGTCACCTGAGTCTGTAACTGGAGAGCCGAGAAAGGCTTCGGCCTCCCCAGGTGCCCCCCTCCCTCACCCCCTCCTTCTCTGGCTGCCCCTCCTGGCTCCCTGGCACTCTCGGCCTTGCCAGACGCTCCCTGGGGCATCCCCGGGTGGGCTTAGCCGAAAGAGCTGAACTCGGGCGAACCTGAGGGGGCCGGTTTTCCATCTGGTTTTCAGTCTCTGAGCTGCGGCCACCCGAACCAGGCCGGGCCGGGCCGGGCGGAGCCGGTGAGGCTCTTGAGCTGAGGGCTTCAGGCTGGGCACAGCCAGTGGGCCTCTCAGCCTCCCCGCCCCCCCATCTCTACAGCAAGGGGGCACAATCTCTAATCTCTACGGGCTGCCAGGATGGAAGAAGCCATCTTATCCCCCCCCCC